ACCAGCTGAGCTGATCTCTCCCCCAAATGGACACTTTCAGGTCAGTGTGGTCCCAGGTCAGCGTGTGGCCTGGCTTTCAGGCCTGACTCAACCATGAGAGTGGGGGCAGCTGTTGGGCCCCCCATGCAGAGGGAGCTTGAGCTCGGAGCTTACGCAGACTGTGGAACCACTGAGCTTGAGGGTGAGTCAGAGAGACACTGACGCCAGCCAGGCTTTGCAATCATCCTTATTTCTGTAATTTTTGTGTTTGACTCAAAATTCTCTCTGAAGCACGGCAGGGAGGAAGCAGGAGGAAAGGATGTTGGGTAGGTGGGGATGGTTTTAAGCCTCAAGGCTTTCTTTATACTCAGAGAAGGATTGTTTTGGAAATTTTTCACCTTTTAAGAGACTGTCATGGGCTTTTGCTTCTGTGTGTCTCATAAATCATCCAGTATTAACTCTTCAAGATGGATCGCTGGCAGCTCCTGGGCATTGCTCGGCATTTTGAGCCCTGGGCTGCCAGGGGATTACAAAGCTATGAATTGCCTTTCTCATAGTGCAACGTGTGGGCATTGAGAGCATGGTCTTTAGAGAGAGGTGGACTTGGGTGTTGAGTACTGGCTTCTCTGCTTATAAGCTGTGTGATCTTGATAATTTGGTAAACTTCTCCAGGCCTGAGTCCTTCCTCTGTGAGGCAGTGGTCATAGCGGTTCTTCATTCGTGGAGGCTATCACATGAAGCATGAGATGTGCTTGACACATGGTTTCCACTCAGTTGATGGTGACAACCACTGTCAGGGTTCAAGACCATCCAGGCAGGTCCACTGGGGAGGATGAGTGACCATCTGTCTTCTTGCCTGCCTCTTAGTTCTCTTGGGCAGACGGAGGAAAGGCAAAAGTCTAGGGAAGGGGCAGCAGCTCCTTTAAATGGGGTACCTTTGCTTTTGCTCCTACTGGTCACAGAGATTGCTGCCTTGGTAAAGCATTTGAAACAGCTGGGCACTTTCTGCCTCCGTGGGCACTTGTTCTGTTCTCAGCAAAAAGTTGTTGCCAAAATCCAGAGTCCTGGTGATTTCCTGGTTGGGGGGCGCCCATAGCAGGAGGTAGGTCTTGCAGGAGCTCCTAGAGCCAGGTACACAACCTCCCTGCCCTCACCCTCACTCCTTCCCCATTCCCTGGGAGGTTCTTCAAAGTCCTCTGGCCAAGTCCAGGTCTATGACAGGGGCAGTCAGGCATGTGTACTAGGAGAAGCTCTCAGGGTGATTCTGGTGCTCACCCCAGGGAGAAACATTGCCATAAAGACATCCTCCTGGGCAGCCCTGGTGGCGCAGAGGTTTAGCGCCGCCTGAAGCATGGGGTTTGATCCTGGGGACCCTGGATCGAGTCCCGGGTCAGGCTCCCTGCATGGAACCTGCTTCTCCTTCTGCCTGTGCCTCTACCCCTCTCTCTCTCTCTGTGTCTCTATGAATAAATAAATAAAATCTTAAAAAATAATAATAATAAAATAAACTCTATTAAAAAAAAAAAAAAAAGGACATCCTCCTGCCCACAAGCAGACCCATGCCTGAGAAGGGAAGGCCAGGCCCAGGCCCATGGAGCCATGACGGTGCAGGGACTGGAACGTGGGACTCTGGGCTCCTGTCCGAGGTTTTTTCATCCCACTAGACTCACTCTTTTACCATATTTGCTATTGGTGGTGGTGGGGTTAGAAATAGCCAGCCCAGACTTTAGGAGACTCTGCTCCCGTGGGAGCCCGGCCTGCCGTGAGCCAGTGAGGGTCAAGCTCAGCAGTGTTCTCAACTCTAGGGACAGCTTTTTTGGAAAAAAGCAGAAAGAGGCTTGGGATTCCAGGCTGCGATCTGCTGCCTTTCTCTCTGCTCCTTGCATAATGCTGGTGAGGTTTCCCTTCTAGGGTTGAATCTTCTCAGCAGGCTAACACGTCATGTGCAGATGGCAACACTGCTGCCAGGAGAGCCCAGGGCATGCTGGCAGCCCCCAGGCCCCCACTTTGTCCAGTTGCACTCACTGGAGCCTGGATTCTTGCCAGATGTGGCAGCCGCTGCAACAGTCTATAGCCCATTTGGTGTTCAGTCGATACTATATAATCCCAATACTGTAATATTAGACATTCACTGAGTGCTGTTTACTTTCCACATACGGTCTCACTACCTCTGCCAACAGCCTTCGTGGAGGTATTGTTATCTTTCTTTTACAGATGAAGAGACTGAGGCTCAGAGAGGTTAGGTGGCTTATCTGAGGTCACACAGCTAAGAGGCAGTAGAGTTGGGATTTGAACCCAAGATGTTCAGATGTGCACTCTTACCCACTTTGGTTTCTCAGTTCAGTAACTCAGCTCCCTCCCTGCCTTTGCTGCCTTGGCTGTGACTAGAACACCCAGGTGGGAGCCTGGCCTTGGGAGCAGTAGTCTCATAAACAAATGTTTTGTGTGTGACTGGAAGTGACATCTGTCATGACTGGCGGATTTTGCATATGACCCTGAGCTTTACTTACTGTGGCTGCATTTCCTAGAGGCAGTGGTGCTTGTCCCCAGGTCTGTTTGTCCGTCCTAGCACATATCCTGAGATGGCAAGGCATCAGTGCCGGGGGTGGGCGGCCTGCCTCAGCTCAGGGTGTCTTTCAGTGGCCTGGACCGTGTGATGTGGTAGCTCCTGACTCCAGGGAGACGTTAGATTGGCGCCTTCCACACCCTTCCCTTCAAACACGGTCTTCATCCTTCAGTGCCTTCACCTCTATGCTTCCCTCTCCATCAACCCCAAATTCTTCCCCCTAGTAGGGAGGAAGGGGACCATTAGACTTACCTTGTCCGTCCCATCTCTTCCTGCTGGCCCCTGAGGTGGGATCTGCACTGATGGAGAAGTGCCTTTTCACCTTTTAGAGGGACCTCTGCAAATTCAAGGCTTTTGACTTCATTTGAACTCTCACTCTTGGTTCTTTCCATCCTTTCTCTAGAGAGATTATTCTCAAATGTAGATGTGACCATGTCTTCAGACCCTTAAGAGGCATCCTGGGGCTGTTGGTACCGCCCAGGACAGCTAGTGGTCTTTTGCATCAGGCTCCATTTTGGGCTCTCCCCACCCATGGCCCCCACTTATTCCCTGGCCTCCCCCACAGCCCAGCTGCCAGGCTCCCTCTTCCCCATGTAGCCGCCTGGGCCCTTGTACCTGCTCTTTCCGAGCATTGTCCACTGGCCTCTTGCTCCCTCCCGAGCCCTGGTCAGGCCTCTGCTGAGACACCAGCTCCTCTAGTCTAAGTTGGGAGCCCTTTGGGTGGGGCTGCAGCAGCCATATCCTGTCATGGCTCCTTGACACCCAGGACTAAAAAATTCACACTGCTCTCTGGTCTGGCTGATGGTTCTTGGTGAAACAAGGGCAGGAGTTTCATTTGTAGGATATATTTCAGCAAACGAAATTCAGGAGAGACTTTTTAAAGCATTTTTATTATTTAAAGAGTAATCGTTAATGTTCTTCCTCGGTTATTCACAAAGAAAAGAACTGAGTGTTTGTATGCAAGAACAATTTTGCTTGTTTTGGGGGGCAGGCCATTTCCTTGACCATGTAGGCAGGAAACATCCACACAGAAAGACGCACGGAAGGAGTACTAGTTCATACTGGTTCATACGGATGTGTGAAGCGCTAAATCCGTGGTGGCTTAGCCATCCGACACAGAATTCTCGGGCTTAGAACTTGGTCTTCAGTGGAGCTTCTGCCATCCCCGAGATGGGCAGGAGCACCTGCTCGTATCACCTGCTCGTATCACTCACTTGGTTCTCTGCGCACCTCACGCTGGGTGCGTAGTGTCTCTCTTTCCCTGGGGCAAAGGCCACAGCTGCCCTGCCTCAGTTTAGCTGCATCCTGGAGCCTGGCCCAAAGGCAGAGTGAATGGCAAACTGGATGAGAACAAGAGAGATTTAATTTTAAAACTAATGAGACTACCAGAGAGGTTACTAGATAAGAAAGCTTTTGCTGATCTGCTTTAATTTAGCTTTTTCGAACGATGCACGTGTTAGTCCAGTTCAGCTTGACACCTGGGTGTTATGGCCTCTCACTTGTGAGGGTTAGATGTTCTATAAAGATTTTCTGATCCTCTCCTCATGGAGCCATTCGGTTTCTCCGAGGACATTCTTGCAGATACTGTTGGTTGATAATCACGTCAAAGATTATTTTAGGATTCCAGGAATTTCTTTTGGGACCCTAAGCTTGACTGCCCTCCACTAATCCTGAGCGAGAGGAGGAGGAAGAGGAAGAGGAACTTTCTTCACCCACAGTGCCATTCTAAAACGGAACCAGTAATTGAATGCTATTAAGCCAAATTAATTTGCCTCCTGCAGGAAGGTTTATGATGAATGAAAGGCTTGCTAATCGGGAAGAGAGCCAGGCAACCCTCTGTGGTCATCAATATTTCATGGCCATAGGCGGTGGCAGGAAGCTAGCTGTCCTGGCTCTCTGACCTTGAGTGATCCAAAGGTAGGACACAGCCAGCAGGGTTGTGTTTAAAGGGCTTGTTACAAGTGAAATTTGTAAGATACATTCATGGGTTATTTGAATTTATATCCTCAGCTAGTGGGAGGCTCAGGGACCCACCTGAGACTGATCCTAGTGGGGAGTGCACACTAGTGTCAGCCACAGGGGCAGAGCTGAAATGTTTACCAGTGGCTTTTGGGGGGCGGGGGAATCTTGATCTGTAGTGTCTACCCATTTCTGTGGTGTCAGCATCCCCACAACATGGCGAGTTTAAAGTTGAACCACGAGTGAGGTGACACACACCAGCACACCACTGGAGCTTGGAACCCCAGCCTTCCGCTCCCATAACTCCCTGATTCTTCCTGGTGATTGGGGAAGATCCTGCCAAGCTGATGCATTTCCAGAAATATAGATGTGCCCCTGGGCAGTACTCATCTGCATTCGACTTGGCCTCTTGACAGAGGGCACCTGAATGTCACTTGCTTTTAAAAATGAGAAAAGAAGTTAATATGCCTGTCATTTTGTTCTTTCTTCTCCCTAGCTGCTATTAACCTAGCAAAGCTGAAACTTTTCAGACACTATTACGTCTTGGTGAGTAAAAAAAATCCTAAATCTGTAAATAAGATCAGTTTAGGGAGTAGAGCAAATGAACTTCCAAAGAATTGGCAAAAGTACAAGATGTGCTACCTGGAGCTGTGCATATTTTATTTTATCAAATCAAATTGTGTCTTTTGATAGGGGAAATTAAACAGCTGAGTCACTCCTTCTTAAATGTTAGTTTTAAATTTGGCTTTAAATACTCAGAAACGTAATGCATGCTTGATGTTTTCTTACAATGTGGGGATTATAGAGTCAGAGCAGAAGTGTTTTATGACCCTCATATTCCCCACCTCCCCCAGGTGATTACCATTGACAGTTTGGTAGTTATTCCTCTAGGTGCTCTTCCTGGCATGTGCCATACACAACTGACTCTTGGCTGGTTTGTTTTATTCATTTGCAAAACGGAGATCATGCCTAAAATCAGGGCTGCTGGATGTGAAAAGTCCCTAATGAGCATACACTAAAGGCAGGACCTGCTGTAACTTATTACGATAATAATTTCTTGGAAAATGTAAGGTACAAACTCTTCTAGAGTTTGCTTCCTGCCTCCTAAAATAAAGTTTCTGGGGCATCTTGAATCTGTGGGTTGGACTATTCCTTTCCTGCAAGCCCAGCCGTCCTGGGAATGGTCCCAATGAGCAGGCCATGCTCCAGTGGCCAGCAGGGTGGATCCTTGCCATGTCCTCCCCTACTGGAGCACTCAGTGTTAGGGTATGTCCTCTGGTATGGGCCTCACACACGCACAGCCTCTGCCAAAGAAGCTAAAGTGAACTTCGTTTTGCTGCTGCCACTCAAAAACATTCCTCAAGGCTTGGGAATAAAAAATACTGTCCTTTGGGGATTGAAGTCAGTATGTTATGTACGTGGAAAAGGCAAGGAAAGGGTGACTTGAGAGTTAAGAGCCGCCACACCAAACATTTTGTCCTCCCCATGTTGGGTGGTCACCTAGAGATGAACAAGTCCTTTTAAGTGGGACCAGCAGGGAAGCTGTCTCTGCCACGCTTAACAGCACCTGTCCAGTGACTTTCTTCAGGTCATTCTGTCTTCTTTTTTGTAGTTCTTTGGTGATAGCAAGTAGTTGGAAGAAAGTGGTGCTGTAATTTCTACGTTGATTTTATTTATTTATTTCTCGCCTATAGATCGTATGTTATATATACTTCACCAGGATCATTGCATTTCTCCTCAAACTGGCGGTTCCGTTCCAGTGGAAGTGGCTCTACCAGGTGTGCTGCTTGTGGGGGACAGTGCCAAAGACACTCTGGCTGAGGATAAAGTCTTGAGGTATAATGTAAGGTTACTCCAAAGTTATCAAGCAGTGGCCACTTCTGTGTCTTCTGGTCCAAAATTAAGATCATCTCTTTGTCCAGGAAAGCTGCTGGATTACATGAAAAATAAGGAAGTAATTGCATTATTGATTTTAGTTTTCAGCTTTATAAGACTTTGAAGAGAAAAGCCTCAGGCAGAGAGTGTGCGATTTGCCCTATATAATTAAAACCCAGTGAGACATGGTCTTTCCTTCTGTTATGGGGCTTAGAGAAGCTTAGAATCTAGAGTGCCCTCCTTCTATGTACATTAGTGTTTCAATAATACAGTGTCTTTGCCATATGCTAGGGCCAGTTAACTACTAGGGTAAGCAACCAAATGATTTAGAGCCTTTTTTGTTTCTTGTCCTTACCTGAATGTATAGTTGGTATACAGTGCTGGGTTACTTCCAGGTGTACGCACAGTGATGAGACTTTCCCTGAGGCACCTACTTGGTGCTGAGGGCACTATAGGAAACATAGGGATACAAGAAGCTCTTAAAAGATACCAGTGAAGACTGGTTAAAGTATAGTGTCTTAAATGTCATCTTTGGGCAGAATGCTCCCAGCTGAGGCTCTGGCCCAGTTTGTGAGGAGACCCATCCCTAGCGCTGCTCTGGCCTTTGAGAGAGTGGTCAGCAGTTGGGGGGCAGAGTGGGAGGGCTGGGCTAGTTTGTTTAGTTCCACTGCTTTCTGAAGAACAGCATTGCTAATCCCTTTTTTTTGGGGGGGGGGGTGTTTTAATTTGCAGCTCCTGGATGAAATGGCCACGCTGGTATTCTTTGTTCTTACGGGCTGTAAATTCCGTCCAGCTTCAGATAACCCCTACCTACAACTTTCTCAGGAGGATGACTTGGAAATGGAATCAGTGTAAGAAATCTTTCTTGCCCCTCCTCCTTTGCCCCTTGACCCAACTAAACAGCACGGTGTGAATTGGAGCAGCTTCTCTCTGCATTTTGTTGCTCCAGAGGTGGTACCTCTATATTTAGCAGAAGGAAATGGACACTTAAGCCCCAGGCTTTCTTTTTTTTATTTATTTTTTTAATTTTTTTATTTTTTTAGCCCCAGGCTTTCTTACTCAGATTAAAGTACAGCATCTGCCAAGCATCGCTCAGTCTTTGCAGGGAAAGTGGAGCTGGCCATCTGATTAGGCATCCCTGAGCATCATCGTTAGAGCCTGCTTCTAATAACTCAGGGGTGAGAACTTGGGCATCTGCTTGACCCTTTCACTGCTAGGCTTGGGCAGCCCCACTTCCTGTTGGACCCCTGCCACTGGGAGCTGATGTCCGAAAATGTGATCGTCTGAGTCGTCTGTGAGTCCTCTAATTGTCGTCAGACTCCTCAGTCATCAGATAATGAAATGGCTTTTCACAGCTAGCGCAGTGATTTGACCTCCATCAGAGCATTCAAATGGATTTTTCGAGTCATGGGGCAAGTGACTTTAGGGTCCTGTTTTCTGGGAAAGGGTACTAGAAAGGAATAGGGTATCTAGAAAAGGAATAGTGATTAAGAGTATTGGCTTGTTTACCAATGAACTGTGATGGGCCAGGTCAGTTGTTGTGTTTGAAGATTAGCCTCAGGCTGAGTTTCAAGTGTGCTGCCTCCAGCAAGGCAGGTGGCCTTTTGACATATCCGGATTCAGAGGCTTAGGCTCTTGCCCAGTGCTGGGCCCTACTGAGCTGTAGGGCAGCCTAGGACAGCTCTTTATGCTCCGCCCCACTATGGGAACAATAAACCTGTGGGCCCCAAACCAGAACTCTGTGTGCAGGGGAGGAAATACCTTCTTACAGATAGCAGAGAAGAAGGTGGTAGAGCCGTGAAGGGTGCCTTTTCTAGAAATAGCAGAATCTGAGTAAGGAACTTGGTTGAAGGGGCCCAAATGCAAGTCAGTCAGGTAAGAAGCAGTGAGCGGGATGCAGTGTATTTATCCACTGCCCTCACGGCAGGGCTTCTCTGGGGTATGCAGCTAGATGCTGGATGCTGGGGCCCTTCGATGTTCTCACCAGCAGTGTAGGAGTTCTTGTTCCTCCGCATCCCCACCATCAGCCATTGTATCAGAAGCATGGACACATTGTAAAGGTGTTTTTGTCTCATGGTAGGATTTTTAGAAATTTTGTTTGGATTTTTGTTTCTCACTGGGAATCTGTGATAACTACAGGACAGTCTGTATGTTCTTGAATCAGGGTAGGGAAGTGGGGGAAGTGGACAGACAAACCACGAGTCATGTGGAGACTGGAGGGAGTGTGTGTCTTTAATTCTGGCAGGCTGCGGGAGAGATCGGAATGCCAAGGGGTGTCTGTTGGTTGCCTCCGCTTACACTCCTGTTCTAAGGGAGGAGCGCTGTGATGACTCCGTGTTTTCTGTGGCTGGCTAAGTGGGAGCCATCCTGTGATACTAAGGGAGCTTCTCTTCAGTGGCAGAAGGGCTGAATGTCTACCTGCAAGAGAGTCAGACCAAGGCGAAGGCTTTGTTCAGGGTGGTGCTGTTTCCAAGAAGCACTAGTCCCGCTTAGCCTGTGAAAAAGAAGTTGGGAAGCTGACTGAGGTCATGTGCCTTTAAGTTAGCAGGAAAATTGTTCTGGGGCTTCTCTCTGGCTGGGAGAAAGTTCTGCTGTCGAGAAAGTTCTATAGATTGATCGAATGTGACAGCAGAACAGGCATGTGGTAGAGGCCCCAGCCGTCAGCCTGCCATCCATGCTCACCTGCAGGTGACAGGCGAACGTGAGGGCTCTTTGCAGATTCTCGGGGTGCCACTGCGCCCCAAGCTGTCCCCTCCCACTTCTGCTTGGAGGTGCTGTTCCTGGATGGCACCTCTTAACTCTTCCAGAAATAACTCAAGCCAGAGGCAAGCAGAGCTGTTGTTTGTGTTTTCTAGAAGATCATGAGCTCTCTGTCCTCCACATTGGAGGGTGTTTCCTGTTAAAAAGGAGCTTGATCTGCTTTTCACCACAGAACAAGTATTACTTCCTCTTTGTGGGAAGGAGTATTCCTTAGGCCTCACACACCTCAAAACAAATCCTCTTCTAACGAGTCTTACCCACTGGTGGCATGCAGACTCTGATCTGGGGCTGAGGTCATTGACCTTATTGGCTGAGATTCTGGGTAGTTTCTCTCTCTCTCTTTTTTTTTTAAGGTTTATTTATTTATTAGAGAGAGCACGCGCACAAGAGCATGTACACAAGCCAGGGGGAGCAGCAGGCAGAGGGAGAATGAGAAGCAGACTCCCCGCTGAGCAGGGACACCGCCCTCAACCCCCTGACATGGCCCAATCCTCCCAGGACCTCGGGATCATGACCTGAGCCCAAAGCAGATGCTTCACGAACTGAGCCGCCCAGGCGCCCCTGGGTAGTTTCTCTTCTACCTGTCTTTACTTCCTTCCTCTGAAGTGCAGTGTGTTTGGGAGGCAAGTCTTGGCAGTTGAGGCCAGGACAGGCCGGGCTCCTCCTGGGGGTGAAGTGCTCCCACCAGGCCTCACCCAACTTCTCCAGCTGAGCCTGCAGAGTGAGGGTGCAGTCAGAAATACCTGACTTCCTATCTTTTTTTCCTTTTATTTCTGGACACACCTCTCTTTGGGCTAAAACTCACAGAGGCTCACCAATTTTGGTAAGAGAATTTTGTCATAAAAAATACAGCAAGTTAAAAAGTATTAGATGTAGTTTTAGTGATCAGACTTAGTAACTGCCTCCTGTGCTGTGCATATACTTGATGATGTGAATTACTTTCTGCTATCTGGAGAAGTCAGAATGGGAAGAACCATTTGGTGTGGGGTCCAGGGCCAGGACATTGCCTCTCCGGGCTTCCCATTCCCGAATACTGGCCTCAGGGTTGCTGGGAACCTTTTCCTACCTGACTGCTGTCCTTCAAGTGGTTGGTCAACAAAAGTGGAAACGGGTATTAGAGACTAATAGAATTGTTTCCCAACCAGGCGTCTCCACATCTTGAGTCCAGAAACCTGTTTTTAGTTGGGTTCTACATTATGGTTTGGTTCGGTTACAGAAACAGATGTGTCTAGGGGCCCCATAGGTGCAGCATCAGGAGCAGTGGGTGCCAGAGCTCCCCCTCCTATTTTGCCTGTGTTCAGTAGGCCTGTTTGGCCACACAGACCATCAGGGTCCTGCTGGGAGAGGAGGGGGTCACCTTTTAGATGCATCTGAGCAGTGAGAGGCAGCACTGGGTCCTTCTGCTCTCTCCAGCTCTGCCCTGCTCCCCCCTTACCCCTTTCTGTCCTCCACATGCTCTCCTGAGTCCACAGGGAGCGCATCTGCTTGGCCCATCACAGCTACTGTCACCTCAGACCGGCCCAGAAGCTGCTGGCCCTTGAGCCCAGTGCCCTTCTTTCTCAGTGCTGCGGTGTCCGAGTGTCAGTTGACAGGGGCTGACCAGGCTCACCCACAGCTTGGGCACTAGGTGTCCTTCCCATTTGTTGGCAGTTTGCTGGACAATAGGTTGCAGAGGCCCACCCAGCATCATGGCCATCAGGTGTCTTGCCCTGCGTCCGTTTACCTCACCATTGCCTGCTTCCGTGACATCCTTCTGTGCTCACATACTCCCTGATTCCACCAGCCAGGGGGGCTTCCATTCTGCCTCTTGTCATGGGGAGGGCTCACCCAAGCCTGAGGTCGCCTGGCTGTCTCCTCAGTAACCACACCCCAACCCCAGCTTCAGCTGCTTCCCTCTAGCCACCTGCCCATCATTACCCAGGTTTCTGTCCCCTGCATTCCCTATAGGCCTTGATGGCACTGTTTTCCAGCCATTCGCCTTCAGCAGCATGTGGCAGTTGGCCTCCACACCTCCCTCTTCTCAGCCCATGTGGAGTGAGACTTCTTGGGGACTCAGTGTTGTGTGTCCTCTCCCTCTCCTCCTTGAGACCCCAGGACCCTGCCTTCCTACAGCTGTCCTCGTCCCTGGTCCCTCCCCTGAAGACTTGATTCTCAGTGTCGGGGCTCAGTTACCTCTGTGCCTTTTTTGCTCCCCAGGGCATCCTGTTTGAGCCATGACTGAGAACCCTGGCATAAGAAGCAAAGCCAGCCTCTGTGGCAAGGGAGACAAGGCCCTCCACGGCCCTGCCCTGCCCACCCTTGACCCTCCTGCTACTCACCTTTGCCAGCAACTGCTTAGCACTCCCTGAACCGTGCAGGGAACATTCTTTTGTTTCTTCCGTGCTTTTTGTCCATTAACATTTCTTTTGTTCAGAAACTACCCGGCCCTTTTCCCACCCCCCATATCTCCCCTGCTCCTCCTCTTTCAGTACGGGCATTGAGGCTGTGCCCAGACCCTGGCAAGATGATTCTGCCCACCCCAAGCCATTGTCCCACCTGCTCAGAGCTCTCCTGTGTGTTTCCAGCAGCTCTGTGTGTTGCTCTGGAAGACGATCTCCTGCTGGGCTGCGGGCACCCAAAGGGTACTGATTTCTGTCCCTCTCTGTCCCAGCCCCAGGCTGGCATGACGGAGCGAGCCCTGTTTTCTCAGTTGATCTGCCAGCTGGAAAGCAGTGTATTCCTGGGGAAAGACAGGTAGCAGGTGTGTCTCCCAAGCCCCACTTGGGGTCAGATGAATGGGCTGTGCTCACAGCCCCAGCTGTATGGAAGCCCTTGCCCTTTCCAGTGGGGGCCAAAGCCCCGTAGCAGCTGTTGTCACCATGAGTGACACTGTTGAGACTTGAGGGTGCATTTCTTTGATCTCAAGTGTTTAGAGAAACCATGCTGGAGCTAGAGAGGCTTATGGTTCTCTTGGGCCTGCAGCTGCTCCACCTGCCCATCCCAGTCTGGAGACAGGCAGTCCCATGAGGACGAGCCCTTTGTGCATGCCTGTCACCCTGAAGATGTGCATCCTTCCTCGAGGGCTTGGGTCCCGGCCGCACCAGCTGACAGGAAGTGACATTGAGCCATATGACGAAATGTGGCAGTTTCCTTTGTCCAGGGGCCACATTTCCACTCACAGTATCTGTAGGAGCCCCCTAGATCCCAAGAACCATGTCTTGACAGCCCACTATGTCCTGACTTTGCCAGAGGTACAACTAGCCTATGAGTCTAAGGGACTCTTGTCTAAGTCCCAGCTCTGGGGCGGACTGGGTGGCTCTGAGGCTTGGTCGCAGCAGCAACATGAATGAAGGAATGAAAGGAGAAATAAAGGGGGGAATTTTTCCTTACCCCATAAAATCATTTATCTGCCTTTAGGTCCCACTGGACGGGGTCTAGATGTGTCATGTGTACAGCCACTGAATTACCATTTGTGGCTAAAGGCTTTGATAGCTGATGGGGGGACAAGGAGGATCCTTGGAGAGATCTATTGAGTTGACTGAATTTAGTTTACTGCTTAGGAAATTCCTGTTGGTCCATGATCGGGCACATAGGTGCCTTGTTTTCTAGAATAGGTAGGGAGATGCTGGCCAGATATGTTTGTTGATCTGTTTTTAACTGACTCTACTTTTTAGAACAGTTTTAGATTCACAGTGAATTGAACAGAGGGAACAGAAATTTCCCGTATGCCCCTAGCCCCCACCTGGATAGCCTCCCGTGTTATCAGCCTCCCCCTCCAGAGTGGTAGGTACTTTTGTCACAGTCGATGAACCCACATGGACATGTCATTATCACCCACAGTCTGTAATTTTTTTTTAAAGATTTTATTTATTTATTCATTAGAGACAGAGAGAGAGAGAGGGGCAGAGACACAGGCAGAGGGAGAAGCAGGCTCCATGCAGGGAGCCCGATGTGGGACTCGATCCAGGTCTCCAGGATCGCACACTGGGCTGAAGGCAGTGCTAAACCTCTGAGCCACTAGGGCTGCCCCGCAGTCTGTAATTTACTGCAGACTTGGTGGTATGCATTCTGTGGGTTTGGACAAATGTGTCATAACATGTATTGACACTACAGATGCACCCAGGGTAGTTTCACTGGCCTGCAATCCCTCTATGCTCTGTCTGCCAGTTCAATCTCTCTGCTTGGTGTCTTCGGCTATGAAGCAACCCAGATCCTTTGTAGATCCTGTCCAGCTCACATTTGTGAGGCAAGAAGTTGTCTCCTCATAGAACCCACCTTTTCAAGAGACGTCATGACTAGCTGTCTGGAAAGAGTCACTCTGCTCAGCCCCTCACACCTTCTGAAGCCAGGGTTCTCCCAGTTTTGATCTACGTACACATTCAGTGTATGACTTCGTGGCATCTTCTTAGTATGAGGCACCAACAGAGATGATGCTTCTGTCCCAAGGTCACAGAGTGTAGGCAGAGCCACGTTCTCTGACAGCCGAGCAGCCTGGCCCAGCATGCAGAGACCCAGATTTATAGAGAGCAGCCAGTTCTGTTTCTCATGCTCAAAGACTCTCTGGGACAGAAGGTTCCTGAAAGGCTGTGGTTCTGTCCCATGACTCAGAAATGACAGTTGTGACTAGTTATTAAAACGACACCTGATGAGCTTGCTTTTTAGGAGGTTAATTAGGACACAAGTGGTGGTCTCATAATCATAGTCATGTAGATACACAACATAATTTGTGGAGGCCACGACAGAAAGAGAGAAACAGATCAATGGTGATTGTAATAACAACAGCTGGTATGTATTGATTTGGAGAATCTCCTTTTTCCCTGACAACAGTTCTCGGAAGTGGGAACCATTTATTGTATTTAAGAACAGAGAGGTAAGGGGCTCCTGAGTGTCTCAGTGATTGAGCGTCCGCCTTAGGCTCAGGGCGTGATCCTGGGATCGAGTCCCACATCGAAGAGAGCCTGCTTCTCCCTCTGCCATGTCTCTGCCCCTCTCTCTGTGTCTCTCATGAATAAAGAAATAAAATCTTTAAAAAAAGAAAAAGAACCGAGAGGTCGGCTTGGTGGAGGTTACACAGTGAGGAGCAGGGTCAGGACTGGAACCCAGGTCTGATTCTAGAGCCAGCATGCATAGCCACTCCACTGTGCTGTGGTGACTTTAAGACTGAGGTTTTTCTAATTGGTTTTTTCCCCCTCATCCAGAGTGACGACATCAGGGGTGATGGAGAACATGAAGAAAGTCAAGAAGGTGACCAATGGCTCAGTGGAGGCTCAGGGTGATTGGGAAGGCACCGCATGATGGAGCAGATTGAGGCTGGGACTGTCAAAGAGAACCTCTAATTTATTAATCGTCCTAGTGGTGAGCAGGAGCAGTTGGCACCTCCCGACAGTGACACCACAGAGCACACGGCTGGGAACAAAGTGCCACGGAAACCTAATTTTTTACTCTCTCTTATGGAAACTGGATCTGTGGCTGGTTATAGAATTCTTCAAATGGGAATGGCGGGGAGGGAGTGCAGACAGGAGGAGGATAAAAGGAAGACTTTGTAATTTATATTTCTCTCTTTTTTAAATTGAGAACTCTCAAGAAATACACAGTTGTGCCCTCAAGTGTGTGGCAGCAGGGAGAGCAGTGGTGGCAGGCAGGCAGGTGGCCGTGCAAGGCTGGGGCTGGTCACAGTTCAGGAACGGGGGATCAGGGGCTGAGGTAGGATACAGAACTTAGAAGGGAAGGGGAACGTTGAGGGACAGAAATGAATGAAATTAGGTTATTTTAGAAAGCAGAGTCAAAACCCAATTTAGTAACTGGAGGCTGCCGCAGAATTCTGGCCCTGAACCCGGATTCTGAAAGTGACCAGGAGCCAGCAGCTCCCGAGGCCCAGTGGTCCTCTCTTCCCAAAAGGCTCTGTTGTCTTAGGGCTGAATATCTCTGTCAGAGTCATGGCTCTGGAATTATGGTGGGAAGTGCTATTCTGGATTGAAGCATATTTGGTGTTGTCTAATGGATAGACAGAAATGTATGTTTAAGCTCAAAAAGCATTATCTAGTAGGATTCCCTTGAACATCTGGCTCCCCCAACTGCCCCAAGCAGGACCACCTCTTTTCCCCCTTCTGTGGCTGTGTCGGTTTTGTGTAATCAAAATATGGAGAGAAACGGGAAGGAATTTCCTTAAAAGGAGCAGCTGGGGGCAGAAAAGCTAGTGTTTAAGCAAATATTTGAGTACAAGCAAATTGTCATCATTATAAGTTTTTCCTATAAACCTGGCAGGCTTTCTGACAGGAATGAAATGGGCCTCATCCGTGTCTCCCAAGGGCATGCACTCGAAGAGAACAGGTGTGGTTAAACAGCTTTTCTCTCAGGGACTGGGGATGGCGAGCTCTCTCTCAAACTCAGCCGAGGGCCCTTCCAAGCTCTTGGAGCCTGGGGATGGGTGCGGGAGCAGTGGTGCAGCTGGTAGCGGAGTCCTCTGGATCATAAGATGAGCTCAGAAGGTCCACTGCAGCCCAGGGGACGAGGGCTCGGCAGTGAACTCCTACCAGGGTTGTGGTCCCCAGGCCTGAGACCAGAGGAAGAACCGTGGCCTCATGGGGAACGCTCCCCGGGGGTGCCAGGAGTCCACACCTGCGTGGGGGTGAAGGGGCCACTGTCTTCCCGTTGGCTTGGAAGCGTCCACCAGAAACTGTAGAACCTGGGGGTTGTGCTCAGCACCCCAGCTTCAGGCACCTGGAGAGTCTGTCCTCAGTTGTCCTTCCCCTGTGCTGTCCTCTGTCCTGGACGAGGGAGCAGGAAAGCCTTCTTTCCACGCACATTCCTCAGTCCTCAGTGCACTGCTCAAAGGAGGCTGAGGCGTCCCAGCCACCTGTGGGCTGCCACCCAGTGTCTCCCCTCTTCCCAGGCGGCTGCTCACCTCTCCACAGATTTCAGGGGAGGGCCATGTGTCTCCCCACCTTCAGGAGCAAGGAAATACGCCCCAAGTATTTATTTAAAAGTCTTTCTTTTTCTGTCTTTCTTCCTTTTTTTTCTTAAGTGAGGGCTACACGATGGGAGCCTTATGGAAGTTGCAGGGACGATGGAAATATTAAGAGTCTGTTTTCTTGGCGTAAACGTAGTCCCGGGACTTCCAAAGTGTCTCATGCTATGGCCACCCCCCCCCCTTAGGTGCTTCCCTCAGAGGGACACCTTTGCTGTTTGTCCTGCGAGCAGATGTTCTTGACTAGGCCGTGATGACTTCTTGCAAGACCCGGAAGTGTGAAGAAACTTACCCCCTAGCCAGAGTCCCCACAGGGGTGTTCTCAATTCACTTGCTGGAAGCAGGGGAGTGAAGGAGGGAGGGAGGAAGAGAATAGGTGGGGGTAGCCTCTACCTCCCCGCCACTACCCAAGCCACGCCGGGCCTCTGTCTGCCAGCTCATGCTCATAGCGGCTGAGCGGCTGCAGCGGGACAGTCCTGACCCCTCTGAAAGGGAGAGTGGTGATGTCGGAGTACCGGATAATAAGCAGCTTGTCTGCCTAAGTCCTACACTGAAACTGGCAGAAGGTGTGAAGTGAAGCCCTGTTATCAATAAAAATCAAACCCCAGCCCAAGATGGGGAAAACTGGTTTTCCCACGTTTGTACAAATTGTTAGAGTTCTCCATCCTGTAAGATGTCCACGTTTGTACAAATTGTTGGAGTTCTCCATCTGTAAAAATGGCTTCCCTTTCTCCATGTCTCCATCATCTAGTAGCTGTGACCGGCACTCCACTCCCCCCACCCCGGGGCAAGATGACTAATGAGGTCCAAAGCCAGGCAGTCACCCCTGTCCTTCCAACAGCTCGGTCTTCACCACCACATGCAGCGCTTCCACACTTAGGCCTTCAGTGTTTTGGGGAGCAGGCAGAAAGGATCGGGTGCACATCATAGAGTGATCAGCAGTATTTATAGCCTTGCTTTGTGCTCCTACTCCCTGTTTCTGCCTACGCACAATACCCATGCTTCCTTTGAGACATCTGTGGACTGGAAGTGCGGCTGGCTGTGAAATTGTAGGAAGTAAAGGATCTGTTTTCATGTAATAAAGTGTGTGTATTTTGCTAGAAAATTACTACTTAGACAATAAGAACAATCATCGATCTCTTAATTTTGGCTTTTAACAGTGGCCAAAGACTTCGTCAGTCTATTTCTTGGTTCCTTGATGCTTTAAAATTTCAGTAGCAATGCATTTTAACCTGCTGAATACAACTCTGGTGAATAGGTGGCCCATTCTCCCGTTAGGAGCTGCTTACTCTGCTGTAAAAGATGGTTTCTCAGATCATAGCTTAAGTCAGTTCAGTTTTCTTCCAAGAAACTGCTCTGAAGTAAAATGTCCAGGTTTGGTTTCTCCTGGACATATCCGGGCAGCCACAGCAGCACTGCCTCATGTTCTGCGTGCCTGTTGTGGCAAGATTTCTGTTCCTGCATTATGATCTCCTCAGGATATCTGTGCTCCCTTGTTCCACAACTGGCCGTCCCCTTCCTCTTCTCCTCCCCTCCCCCTTCTCCCCCTTCTCCTCTTCCCCAGCCCACAGCTATTGATTCCACATAGGCTCAGTCTGGGAACATGGGCTGAAGGCTTTGGTGCACTGCAGCATTTTCTCCCAGTAGCTGTGAAGGATATACTTTCTAACCCAAGGAGAATTTTATCAAGAGCGTACATACGAGTGCTGCATGTTACGCTTTGGACCCCCACACTAAAATATATTCTTGTTTAATACTTGAGAGGCTGTTGCCAGGAGCCAGTCCTTACAGACCGAGAAGTGTGTGAAAAATGCCCGTTTGAATTGTGAGTGGCGTCCTGGCCATCTCCCACATCCTGAAGCATCTTCTCCAAGGAAGGCTCTCAGAACATTAGATGGTCTGCTGAAGTGGTTGGTGCTGCTCCATACACCCCGTGGAACAGTAAGACGGTTCATGCTGATAAGCTGCTGGATTTCACAAGAAGCAGATCCCAGCCCCCTCCTCAGCCCGTTTCCACACTCCACACTCACCCCTTTGCTTTCTTCTGACACTCTGGCCTTTTAACAGATCAAGAATGTACCAAGTCCATGATGCCTATGGCTGACCTGCTGCCTGCTTCTCCCATTCAGGATTCAGTAAATGAGTAGGTTCCCCACTAAAGAATTTAGGCTCTGACTTGGTACTTCTTGGTATATCGGGTTCTCTTCATCTGGAACATACTGTATGTTCTAAGAAGTTGCTCTTTACTCCAGGTTTCTCCAGGGTGTTTTGGGCAGGAAGTCTTTAAAAAGAGGCCCACCTGAGTTGATGCTAGTACTTGTCGCACCTGAAATGTAGCTGAACACTCCAGGTTTGGTGAGCTGAACATTCCAGGTTTCCCCCAGGGCTTCTCTGCAGTCTGGCAGCGCATCTGTGCCCCCAATGTGTGGTTTATGCTTAAAAAACATGTTTCTCGATGGCTCTCTGTTAGGGCATGGGACTTGCATAAGCCCTGAGCTACCGTGTAAGGAAGGCAGCCTGGTGGAGAGGGACAAAGCGGTGTGGGAGCAAGGATCTGGTCGTGCTACATAGGGACTGTTGAGGTTCTGGGGGCAGGTAATCTGCAGGCAGGCCGTTTGGGAAGGAGGAGTTCTGGACAAAGTCAATAAGGTCTGACATGAGACAGAAAAGCTAACTCACTTCGAAGACAGCTTATTTTAGGGCAGGCTCTGGGGTTTTGTGGTGGGCAGCCAAATCAGACCGGGGGACCAGTGGGGCAGCCTTCTTAGCATAAGATACTTATTACAAAAGGATCCCCAAATCCTGGCCACACAAGGGGGCAGTTCTTGACGCCTTAAGCCTCTTTTGCCGACCATAAATTGGATTTGCCTGGTCATGTGATCTCAAAAGAAGCCAGACACATCAAATCCAGAAATAAGTTTCATTTGGGGGAGAAAATGCCTGTAAATATCATTTACTTTCCAGGTTGGGATGCAGGAGTTTTCAGTATTTTTTTTAACACTGATGATCATTGAAGAGTATTTATGTAAACATATAATGGGTGGGGGTTCTGATCAGGGTGACGTATAGGATGGGTTCTCTTGCTGTGATGCAGACATGTAAAATAAAGATTCTCTGACAGAAATGTATGTTTGTAATCCTGCAGGGAGTCACTGACTCCTGGCTGCTGTCTCTCCTCCCGCTCATCATTTTTTCCTTTGTGATTCTTGTTCATTAAATTAGTTAACTGCCTCCCACCTGCTCGCACTGACAACAGTGACTCCTACTAGAGAAGTTCTGCATACCTCAGCAGGCCGTGTCGGCTGCACCCCCTGGGGGCTTGGTTCTGGAACAGACTTGTTTTCCCATGCCCTGCCTCCGAGTTGAGGCCGGTGGGCGCCTTCCAGAGCAGGACCTGCACGCTGCTGCCTGCTGCCACTGGAGGGGAGGTGACCCCGCAGCCTCAGGGTGAGGCACTCTCTGACGCCGCTTATCAAGCAGGCTGCCAGTTTTCCCACATCAGAATCATAGAAATCCAGGACTGTAGATGCAGAACATTTTTAGAAGTCATGCAATCCCAAACCCCTTATTTTATTACAAATTTTTTTTAAGTTTTTTTTTTTTTTTTTTTTTTTTTTAATCATAGACATAGAGATAGAGAGAGGCAGAGGCACAGGCAGAGGGATAAACAGACTCCATGCCAGGAGCCCGATGCGGGACTCGATCCCAGGACTCCAGGACCACGCCCTGGGCCAAAGGCAGGTGCCAAACCGCTGAGCCCTGGGATCCCCACTACAAATGTTTTAAACTGAGGTGTAACTTAACATACAATAAAATTCACTCCTTAAATGTACAGTTGGTTGAGTTTGGACAGATGTGTATATGGTTCTGTAGCCTCCACCATCATCAGGACAGAGCATTTCCAATCCCCATAAAGTTGCTTCGTGCCCCTTCTCAGCCAGAACCACCCCATCCCTGGAATGGCCACACCACAGCTCTGCGGTTTTAGAGCGCTGTGTGAATAGAATCCTACGGTATGTCCTTCGTGTCTGGCTTCTTCCACAAGGCATACTGTTTTGTGGTTTATCACTCCAGTGCTCTGGCTTTACAGCTACAAAAATAAGGGCTAGAGAAGGTTTGCCCCTTCTCAGGTCTGCTGGCTCCTGCCTTGGTGAGGATTAATCCCTCATTCCTCATGGCCTAGACATTCGGGGCTGGGGATGGGGTTTACAATCCATGTTATTTGGCCTGAGTTTTCTGGTTCATGTTCGTGCCTCAGGACCCTCTGGGGTCCTCGGATTACCAAAGGTGTCTGTGGAATGAAGCATTAGGAGTAGGATGGGCCTTCTAGTGGGAGAATCCCAGGAATCAGGCAGGACCCCCAGGAGTGAGAGCTGCAGGGGCATCCCAGAAAGGGGCAGCCAAGAGAAGGTGTGGAAAGGACCTTAGGGACCACCTGAACCAGTGCTTCTCAAACTTGAGCAAGCATCGGCCCTCTGGAGGGCCCAGAGGCTCCCATGGGACCTGAGAAGTAGCACTGCTAGCAAGCTCCAGATGACACACTGAGAACCACCTCTGGGAGCCAGCCAGCTCCCTTCTGGAGACGCCTCAGTCACATCGCTGGCACGTCTTCCGTCAGCTGGAGCTGCAGTGAGCAGCGAGACCACTCTGGCCCGGGGCCTGCCAGTGGGGTGACCACGCTCAGCAATGAGGGGTGCTAGCAGGGGTTTGGGGGCCCAGCTGAACTGCTTTTTGATTAGCATTGGCTTCCTGCTCCCCAACAGCCAGGCTAGGGCTTCCCCCAGTTGGAAAGGCAGTCCTCTGGGCCTGGAGCCGTGGGGCCTGCAGCCCAGGACCGGGGCTTGTGTCGAGAAGGCCTCACCTGCTTTCCCCGTTCTGGGGAGATGCAGAACAGGCCAGGTCGGAGCCTAGCTGAGAGCTGCCACTGCCTCCCCGGCCCAGGCGCCTGGTGAAGCCCTCTCCGTGCCTACATGAGCCTGTGGATGTCCTGTCCTTCCCCAGGAATCCGGCAGACGGCCAGCCACACATGCCGCCCCCCGCCCCCCGCCCCAGCCACGGAACAGTGGCGGGTAAGACCTTCCTCATGCGCACCTGGTTCTTCTGCAGTGCTCCTGAGAATTCGCAGGGCTCCTGGGCACCAGCCTGGCCCCCACCTGGAGGGAAGTTGGCTCCGCAGTCTGGAGACTGCTATTTAGTGGGCTGGGGTGACATGCTCAAGAGCTGTGCCTTCCAGGGCTCCTGCCAGTTTGCAGGGGAATGCTGACCTTGAGAAAATGAGGAACCTGCTCATAAGAACAGATCTGCAAGGACTGAGCCAGAGGCGCCTCGGTCACTCAGGGGTGAAAGTAGTTCTACACACACATGTTTCTGGGGAGCCTGGTGTTGCGGGTGTATGTGGGGAGAAGTATGAGCCATGCTGGTGGCCCTGCCACCACATCCTCCTGTCTCCCCTCTCACCCTTTCCATTTTAACAGGCCCCTTTACCATCACAGTACAACTCCTTTGACTTTTGCGTTCAAAACAACCCAAATCTCCCTAGGCCACCAGCAGCCCCCCCACCCCGGCTCAGACCAAACCACCCGAGTGTGCTTCACCTCCCAGCCCCCCACCCCCCAGCCAACTCCCTGCAGCCTGGTTTCCACCATCCAAAGTCACCTGCAACCTCTTGGGACTGGGTTACTATCTGTGGGGACTTGAGGGACTCTTCCCCTCTTGAGATGCACCCTCAGTC